GCCCGGCCGGGCAGGACCGGCTGGGCGTGAGAATCTTCCTAGCTAAATAGTAAATATTAGTATATTACACAGCAGGCTATTCATTGTGTCTATTTAAACACCTAAATTATATTTTGCTTTTATTAACATAGGGCTATGCCTCCCGTAGTAGAGGATAGGTCTCCACTCATCCCCCACGTGAACCGCATGTGATGATGACTGTGCAAAAGTCCATCGACATATATAAAATGAATGAAAAAAAAAATCAGCTGAAAGGAAATGGCGGTACTCTCCACTGAGTCTCCAGCCATCACATCATCTGCGATCCAATGGCAGATCTTTCCCGCCAGACTTCGGTACACACTTCCGCAAACCCCTTTTCAATAAGATAATCAAACTTTACTTACTGTCCAATGGCCTGTCACACACACATGACAGATCTGTGTGACATGCTGCTGCCATCCAGACATCCTTCTGTTATGAACCTGGTTGTTTGTTGTCAGAAGACCAACACTCGCTCACATAGACTTACAGGTATGCCCATATATACACAGAAGGAAGGGGAGAGGATGGGAGTATCACACCGCACAGGGAGAGATAAACACAGCGGAAGACTTGTCCATGCGATATGACAGAGAACGCTGGAAGTGTGATTCGCTCTACGGAATCCTCACAACCAGCCACAAAGGAAAGCCGAGTAGATCACATCCAAGAAACAATAAAGCAATGATAGTCCACACACGGTATTCAAACTGTTTATTAAACTCAGAGTCTCGAAATGTCAGAATAACCCCAGAGCCATGGTGCTCTGCTCAGGAATGAGCAGCGCTTCACTCCCCAACTCTGAGTAACCGTTATACTACCCCTGAGACCCTGAAACAACCAGCGCCACCCAGATAGTGCCTCCAGAGGGAAGTGCCACCCTGAAACAGGCCTCTGAGGCCAAGCACCTCACAGAGGATGAAGAAGAAGACCAGCGCCACAGCATCTGATGATGATGAAGTGACAGAAGACTTCCCGGGTAGAAGTCTGTAGCAGTGCCACCTCTCCTGACAAGGATGAGCTCTGAGGACGATAGCTGCAGCTATGGCTGCAGCGCCACACACCCTGACACCCTACTCCTGAGGAGGGTTCAGCAGGGCACCAACTTCTCTTGCCTCCAGCAGACTCCAGATAGCCGCATGCTGTCAGAGAACAGCGCAGGCCCCAGCGATGGCCGACGCTTCGCAGCTCTGGCTATGTCTGTCTTCTCCAACGATGAAGCTGTCACCACTCCAGTTCATGCGTTGCACATCAGCAACCTACACAGTACCAACTGCCAAAAGCCTAAAACAGTCTTCCTTAAACCTGTTCATAGTCTACCCTAGCCTAGACACGACCTAGACCGAACTGACTGGACTGACCGGTACCGTTTCCATTTCGGCCTCTAGGGCCTCTCCCTACCCGGCTATAGGCTATAGGACCGTCTATTGGCATAAGCATTTAGGGCCTGTCCGTCCTAGGGGTAGCCCGGGCCTGCTATTCGCAGTTAGGGTAACTGTAGGAAATTCTAGTTATTGCGGGCCTATACTTTCCCAAATTTGCAGATATGTCCCTCACGAATTTTCCTTACAGACAGGTCACTCGGTTAGCCCTCAGCCAAACAAAATTACAAAATCTAACCTACCTATGTTACAGCCTAGGGTCGACGGGTCGCAAGGCTGCAGAATCAGCAAGTCATTGCACTTCTATGTTACGATGCCTATCCCCATGGCTACTGGAGGCATTTCCAAGGACCGTGGACGATTGAACGGACTGGGAAAAAAAAAAAAAAAAAAAAAAGCCACATAATTGGCAATGTCCAGCAGATCTGGCTCAGTCCTCCTTTTTGAAAGCCTGGGCCTCAGAATACACGTGGGTTTCACTCAGTGAGAACAATCGGGTAATTTTTTCTCGTTACTTGTGGGACGAAATGGACGACTTGGTTTCTCCCGCAAGACACTTTGGCAGTATGTTTTTGATGTACACTCATGATATAAGGGACGCTGGACCCATTTTCCAGCAGGTGCAGCTCCCCACCAATAGAATGGAGTAATAAAAAATAAAATAAAACAAAAAACTTGGAAAACATTCTTTGTTGGAGGCTTGAGCACGGATGTGGCTGCTACGGGGTTCCCCGAAATACTATAATGACAATAAAAAAGGCCTGAAAGGCCGTCCTGTCCAGTTTCGACAGGTATTAGGGAAAAAATATATATATCTATCAAAGAGAAAATCAAATTATTATTATATAAATAAATAAAAAACAGTCCGTACTTAGACAAATTATCTACAGTAGCATCATTCGCCACATTCTCAAACTCAAATTCCAATTAAAGACCACCAAGAGGTCGACTCAGATTTTAAGCCCCCATACACAGAACTACCCCATCCATGGGTGTGTTTTACTATTATCTTTAGAATTAAAATATTTTCATTAGTTAACTATTACCTTCAAGCTTACTATTGTCTTCAGGGTCACCAGCCCGTATGTACGGAGGTCCCCGGGCCGACCTCCGTACGTACGGGCGTTCGGGGTCCCATTCGGGGTCCGAACCCGACAACGTTCGGCCCCCGCCAAGTTTTTTCTGATTTGTTTTTTGTGAGTTCTCTATGATGTGAGGCACATGCCTATGAATTTTGAAGTCATTTTGCCAAGCCAAAAAATAATTAAAAATCGTCAAAGATGGCGGTGTCAAAACGTGCTCGCCCACTCACTATTTTGTTTTTTATTCACTTTATTTCAGGGCCTAAAAAACATTATTATTTTTTGAAACTTTTTTAACAAGTTTCGTATTATGTGAAGTACATATCTGTAAATTTTCAGGGCATTTGGCTGTGCCAAAAAAAAAATGAAAAATCGCCAAAGAAGGCGGTGTCGAAAACGTGCTCGCTCACTCACTAATTTGAGTTCTTTTTTCATTTTTTCTTATTTTTTTTATTAGTTTTTCCTGTTTTTAATCTTTATTTTGAATTTGGTAAGGAATTTGGATGTAACGCTCAGGCAAATGTTGTTTATTGTATTTTCCTTCATAACATATCTTTATTTCAGATATTTTTGAATTGATTTTTTTTTCTTTTTTTCTTTTTTTGGGTCCGCGTTCGGCCGTTCGTTTTTTGGGTCCACGTTCGGCCCAAACGGCCGAACGCATCCCCAAGGGGTCCCGCACGTTCGGCGTTGGGTTCGGGCGTTCAGCCCGTCCTGAATGCCGATTACCCTGATCGTCTTTAGATTACTCTATTACCTTAGGAATTACTACCATTATCCTTAGACATCGCTTTTACCTAAGGCACTCGTAACTCTCTTTCTCTTAGAATTCCAATCACATTCTTATAAAAAATAGGAAATAAGGAGGTGGGGGGGGGGCGGGGGAAGGCATTGCATGGCTAAACCGAGTGCAAACACTGACCCGTATGCGAGCTCGTCCATGATAGTCTTCCCCAAGCAGCGTGCCCCTGCATTTACCAACTTCAGTACGGCGGACGCCGTACATTTTGCAGGCTGGTGAGTGTCTGCCCAAACAGGATTTCCAAAGCCAGTCACACGGGACTCTATATCAAACCTGGGCCAAAACAAAAAAAAAAAAAAAAATCAGAGGATAAATCAACAGCAAAAAAACAAGCAAGCCTGTCAGTAATGAGCCAATGCTCGGAACCGGAAGGCGAAAAGAAAACAAACCCAAAAACAAAAAAAAAGCACCAAGTCTGTGAAAGAAAGGGTGAAAAACCTGAAAGGAAGGGGGGAAAACCTGAAAGGAAGAGGGGGAAACCTGAAAGGAAGGGCGAAAAACCTGAAAGGAAGGGCGAAAAAAGCATAAAAAAAGATGATTCGATAGATTTTACAATGCAGAGTAGTAAGTACATTTTATTTTATTTTTCTCTTTTTGTGTTTCTTTTTCTTTCC